TGTTTGACTTGTATTCTTTCTCATTATAACCTTGTTTACATTTATACTTACATTATAAATTTCTCTTTTATTTTTTTTTTATCTCACAGAGTTATATATATTTAATAAATCTATCCTAACGATATTACAACTCATGCTATCTTATTAGTTTTTCAATTTCTTTATTTGTTAACCTTTAAGGGCTCCTTACACGGTCAACATTGAGTTTCGTCAATATATTGACCATGTAAGGGCTAAATTAGCATCAATTATATTGAGGTCAATCAAACTGGTAGATATCAAATTTGATTGAAGCTTCTTCAATATTATTGAAACAGAGTCAATATAATTGTACCTGTAAGGGCCACATTGAGCAATCCAATAATATCCACATATAGGGATCTTGAGAAGCTCTGGGCGATATCAAATTTCCGTTCCCCCCCCTCCTGGCAATATTTTTGAGTAGGTGGGGGGGGGGGGTACTTTTTTATTTGGGAGGCAGGAGGATTTAACCCCGATTTTTTAAAAATGTGCATGTAAACAATGTAAACGGATGTGCATGTGTTTCGGTTGGTGGATGATTTGTTTTAGGGGGCAGTGAGGTTGATCACCCCCCATATTTTTTTAAAAAGATAAAACGGATATAAAATTCGGTAAATGAGTGATACTTTGTTTTACTTTTATTATTATTATTTATTTTTTTTTTTGGAGGTGGGGTTAACCCCCTCTACGAATTATTTTTTAAAGATAAAATGGCAATATGTTTGAGTAGGTGGGTGATACTTTATATACAAAATTTAATAACAATTTTTTTTTATTACAAAACTTTCTTTTAAATATTAAATAATTAGGAAACAAGAAGAGAACCAATTTGAAACAAGAAACGTTTTAATGTCTTGAAACAAAATAAACATTACAAAGAACACTTTTTTTTTTATGCTAAAAACAAGGCAATTAAAGTAATAGGAAATTCATTATTATTCATTTCCACAAAAAAGAAAGATTACCTCTTTGGAAATCTCCTTCTTCAGTGGAAGCAAGAATTTTAACTGATATAATATTGGCTCAATATAATTGACGCGTGTGAGGTACCCAGGTACCCCTTCAATATATTGCTTCAATAATATTGATCGTATAAGGGGACCTTTAGCCTTTCTAAATAAGTAGTTCTTATCTAGTTGTTCTTATTTTAGATTTACTAGATCATTACTTATTCATTTTTCAATTTCTTTATTCGTCGACACTCATTTTCTTTATATGTTATCCTACAGTTATCAAATGTAATCTTTACCTGTTTTGTCATTTCTTATCTTTTATCACAATATGTTTACTTTTAATTTACACGCTATATTCACCTTTGTTTTCTAATTTTATTCATACTTATTTTTGTATGTACCTTCTATATATATATATATATATATATATATATATATATATATATATATATATATATATATATATATTACTTGATATTTTAACTACACTGTCACCCACTATATCTCTGATGTCCTCTTATTATTTCTTTATCAGGCAACTGTTTCTAATTATAATTCATCTTTTTTATTTCCACCATGTACTGCTATGTTCCTGGCCTCGCGTTTCTACGGCGAGTAAGGGGTTCAAGGAACCGCATTTATTTGTATTTAATAATTATACTCCAGAAGGGAACCGATCTACAGAAAAATATATTAATTAGGTATTTAAAGGTAAGATACCACAGACCCCCTACTGTAGTATCCTAGATTGAACCATATAATTTTTATCGGATTTCCTTTCTAAAGGTATCATGTTTATAAATTTACTATTTGTTTCTATTACTAATTGGTGGCATGCAAGGTAGATGGTAAAAGTACTACGTTGGTTTGCTAACTAATATATTTACAAATTTAAATAAAACCAAAAACATCTATATACAAAATAATAACTAAACCTATATACATAATGAATAGTTGAGAATCATACTAGAGGAGAATGCTTGATTAGAGTTACTTATGTTCTATTGATTTTATTAATTAATGACTGATGGTTGCCAACACAAATTTACATTAGTATAACTAAATGCTTGTTACCACTTAGCTGGTCCTTCATAGTGTTTCTAGCCGTCATATCTGGATTCCCTGCCTCTGCTCTCCTTCAGCGGCTAGTCCGTCCATCTGCTCTCTTCGCTTCTCCTGATCCAGTCTCAGCCTGTGTCCTAGCTCTCCTCCGCCGAGTCCCCAGAGGAAGTGCTCTCAGCTGCCTTCCAAGACGAAGTGTCCTCCTCTCCGTTCCAAAAAAAAAGTGTTTTTTTTTTTTTCCTGACCTCCCAGAAACTTTATTTAACACTACTTACAACATACATCTATGAATGTATATATACATTATTGCTTGACCTTTGCTTACCCAAGGGTATTTTAAGGTAAATGACAGTTTATGCCGTAAGCATAGGATACTTTCTGTGGCCTTAGGCCTTAATTTCATCACCGGGCTCTCTTTGCATTAGTGCTCGATGCATAGATCCCGATATCGTCAGCATAGGCTGCTACCACTGCGTTTGGGTGTTTGAGTGCCACTACTGGCGCCGTAAAAACGACGAACAGTATTGGTCCCGACACAGACCCTTGAGGTACTCGTACGACGAGAGATCTTCCGCTAAGATAGCTTCTGATCAGTCGGCATAGAGGGGCTGGGAACATGTACTCTTCCAGCCGTCGGAGTAACAGCGCGTGAGACACGCAGTGAAAGGCCTGACTGCAGTCCAGTGAGATGAGTGCCGTAGCTCTGTTGTGATTCATCTGCTCTATGGTGTGTGCCTAAAGTTTCGCCAGGTGGTGTTCGCAGGCGACACCTTGTTGGAAACCTGTCTGCTCTGGTGGTATAATGTTCTTCTCCCTACAGTGTTTTATGAGATGGTAGTGAATCAAGCGCTCGAAGATCTTGCTGATGTGCGAGAGGAGGCTGATTGGGCGATAGTGCTCAGCCGCGTCTCCTTTCTTCCCCGGCTTTAGTAGGGGTACTACGATCGCAGGCATGAGTTGAAGATGTTCAGGAGGAAGGCTTTACCCTTCCTTGGGAGCATCTTTAGTAGCACATACGGTATCTCGTCCTGTCCTGACGCTTTGTTTCCCTTAGTGCGCCGTAGTACCGACTCAAGCTGGTTAATACTGGAGAAAACGGGCTTCTCGATGAGACTGGGAGATGGTCCATCCTGCACAGGAGGGGCACTTCTCGTCCGCTCTGCGTCACCCGCTGCATAGCTTTTCGACAGTAGTTCAGCCTGTTCCCCGGGTGTTAGCAGCGCGTCACCTTCTGTCAGATGCACACTTCTCTTCTTGCTGACGAAAGTCCTGATGAGTCTCCAGAACTGGCGGTGATCGTGTGTCCTCCATAGCTGATCATGCCAGAGAGAAGTTTTCCAGTCACGCATGAGGCTAGCTATCTGCCGGGTCATCGCATTGATGGCCGGCTTTAGACTATAATCGCGGGTGCGCTGGAAGATGTCTGATGTTGTTCCGTTGGCTTATCAGTGCAAGAATGTGCCGCGGTGGTCTTCTGATGGAGTTGGGCTGTGGGGCGAACCTGGGGATATTACGATTGGCTGAATCCTGGATGGTTGTGGTGATGACTTTCACAGCACTGTCCACCTCATCTCGAGTCCTGCACGGTGTAATAGCTGGTAGTGTGTTCTCAACGCAAGATCTGTATTCTTTCCAGTTTGCCTTGTTTAGTAGATACTTGCTCGCCGGCGGTGTGGCTGGCATGCCCTCGAAAGTGTAGAGCACAGGCCGGTGATCAGAGGGACCATACGGTAGTGCGTGGCAGTCCGTAATGGTGTGCTGTTCTCTGGTTAACAGCAGGTCTAATGTTGAGGTCCAATCAGGGCGGGCTGCGTGTCGGAAAGTGTGCACACCTGGGTGAAAGACGGCCAGGCTGGTCTTAGTGATGTACCTCCCCAGGGGATTGTCGCTACCACAGAGCCAGGAAGAGTGTCGAGCATTAAAGTCACCAATGACTACATGCCGACTCCTCGCCTGGGCGTGTTGTAGCAGGAGCTTCACAGATGTGAGATTTGCCCTTGGTCTCCTATAAACACAGGTGAACGTATAGCGATTTTTAAATCGTACGTCCACTGTGACTATGTGAGTTCCCTCGGTAGGTTCCACTGGGTTAGTGATGGTTTTTGAAGGTACATCTCTTCTGACCAGTATAGCGACGCCCTCAGCTCTCCCCGGGGGGCACACCTCCCGGTACACAGTATACCCCTGGAAAAATACTCGAGACGATGCGGGCAACATTGTGTCAGTCAGTGCCACAACCGATGGTCTGTGCTGCTGTAGGAGAAGCTCTAGTTCGGCCGACTTTGATAGGAGGCCTCTGATGTTCAGGTTGACTACGAGGTGTTTAGTCATTTTTCTTGATGGGCATCACGGTTTGACCAAAAAAAAAAAAAAAAGTGTTCAGTCCCAATTCTCTATTTCCCACCTTTTTTCATCCCCCTCTCTTTTGGTAGTCTTTTTCCTGATTGGCTGAATATTCTCAGCCTAAGGGATGACCACGCCCTCTCCCCCAGGCCAAGGTAAAGCAGCAGGTACAGATTTACGTATTTCTGGTGGAAGGTGTGAAAAGGTCTTTCGGGATCCTGTTTAAACACTCAGTTGTCGGTCTTTGTCGGTGGTTATTAAAGGTTTTTATTACCACTTACAGAAGGTTGGGCTTGTGGGTCGTTACCTTCGGTCAGGTACCGCCAGATGTGAACACTTATGATGTTTATTTATACATTTAAAATAATTATTCCACCGGCGGTCTTTACAATACATAGCAGTACCTTTATGTTTTGTATCTTTTATAGCCTTGATGAAGACCTACAAAGTGGGTCGAAACGTCGGTGTAACAATTAAAAATACTATTTTATAAATTAAGTATTTATTTGACCGGACCCCCCGACCAACTCCTCATATTACAACACGGTCAACCATTATATATTTATCTTATATTAAATTAAAAATAACAGATGTTTTGAAAATATTATAATCCATCAATATTATTGAATTCATTCAGTTTAAGAAAGTGTAATGAAGCGAGTAACTTCAATGTAAGCTTCTATTCGACTCAATGATTTCGATAGTATTAGTGGATTATAATATTTTTAAAACATCTGTTATCTTAAATTAAGAAAAATACATAACATACACTTTTTTTTTAACCTCGAATTTTCCAATGCCAGGGTTTGACGTTAGTAAATTTCATCAACTCGGAAAAAAAATTGTCGGAGCTGGTTTGAATTACAAATCTTTACTAAAAGAAAAGGGTTTTCCTGAGCCAAAGGAACCTGTTATATTTGTAAAACCGACGTCAACATATCTGTTAGAAGGAAGTCCAATCATCATCCCTAAAGGCTACGATGTGTTCAACGAGATAGAACTGGGCGTGATCATCGGGCGGAAGGGCAAGGACATCAGAGCGGAAGAGGCGACCCGCTACATCGGAGGGTACTGCCTGGCCCTGGACCTGACGGCGATGAACATCCTCAACGAGCACCGCAAGGAAGGGCTGCCCTGGCTGGTCTCGAAGGGGTTCGACACGGCCACCCCGATCAGCGCCCCCGTCCCCGCCGCCTGCCTGCCCGACCCCCCCGCCGCCCGCCTCTGGTGCTGCGTCGACGGCCGCCTCCGGCAGGACGACAGGATCTGCGGCATGATCTTCTCCATCCCGCGCCAGCTCGCTTTCATGTCCAAGAACATGACCCTCGAGCCCTACGACCTCATCCTCACCGGCTCTCCCGCGGGGGTCGGTCCCATCAAGCAGGGCAATGTCATCCAGGGAGGTCTGGAAGATATCCTCTCCATCAACTTCAACGTGTGCTAGCTGCAGGTGGAGAATTGAACCGTTATCCAAATTAAATGTGTCATCATTATCACTTTGTGTTTGTAGTTTTTGCATCCTTTATTGACGAATTAACTATTAATACAAAAATAATTTGAAACTTTTTAACAAAATATAAATGAGGTTTTAAGCCTGGCACCTGTATACATCCTACCTCAACGGTACAGTAAATATATCGTCACATAGTGGGACGATTAAGGTTAAAATAACTCCAAAAACTAGATAAACTGTTTTATTGATACTTTCTAGAATTGGTGAGAAATTTTTAATTGGCAAAATATACATTTTTTACCGTTTTTATAGTATAGTTCAATTTAAAACCTGTAATATTGCGTGGTTTGAGCTGGTGGTTCGTAATATTTCTTGAAAATTTACCAACTTTTACTGTCATTCTGTTTAACTAGAAAAAATATGATTATGTATAAAGACTTCGAACTTAACTAACTAAAAACATGTTTTACTTCCAACTTAATTAACTAACTAAAAACATGTTTTACTTCGAATCTTTTTCCTTTTTTGTTATTGTCGGAATCTTTGATTTTTTATATCCACTACGTGCCCAACAATATAATATAGAAACTTGAACGACCCGACCTTTTGCAAGGTGACAATTCTAATTTGAATGGACTGTGACTGATCGTTATTTGTTTCATACTCTAAAAATGATACGATAGGGTTATTAAGGGGACCCTACACGGTCAATCGGAATTGCACTAATGACGTTCCGAATTGTCGTGTAAGGTAGTGAATGAAGTACTGATGGTGGTGCGCTGCGGATTTCCGAACATCCGGAAATCAAAGGTTCATTCACGAGAAGTGGAGGGGGGACTGAGGTAAAAGTAGTGGGGGGGGGCTAACCATACTGCTGGATAGGTTAGGTTACCTAGGCCTCACAACCATTATAAATTTCTGATTTTCATTATATGTAAATAGTTAAATAATTTTTCATATTTATTGTTTATAAATTTAAACCATCTTCAACTATTTCTTTTAAATAGTCAAGAGAAAAAAAAGTGGAAACTTCTCAATTTACTTATAGAAAAAAAATCTTTAACTGTTGTGTTTATTTGCCATTAATTTTCCCATTTTTCTTAACAAATTGATTATTTTCGCAATAATTTTCATAGATTTTTGTATGTAGTTGACTTATATTTTGGACTAACTTTGGTCTAAACGATTTTCAGGCACTAGGAAGTAATTATTATATCTCCGTTTTTCTCTTGATGCACAATATTATAAATGACAATGTCCAAATAAGCATATCTATGCTGTTTCTTTGTTTACAACTGCGCAAAATTGGTATCAGCAACGATAAGTAATGATCAGTAATGATTGAACGTGTAAGGGTCTTCAGGATCAAAGCGATCGCGGGCAATCTTGGAACTTCTTGTGACCTTCATTCATGAATTACCGTGTAGGGTCTGCTTTACAACTAAAATATGTAATGAATACTTTTACTTGAAATTTATTTGCTAAATTTGTGACAAAAATTTCATTTTTTAAATTTAACTTCTGTAACGGAGGCAGTAATCTTACTCTGCTGAGTTCTATTATTTTTATGGCTAATTAAAAACATGAGGTGCGCGCAACACACAACTTTCACTTACCGCTCTACTTTAATAAGAATTATTTTTTTGTAATGCTGGGCTATTATAAAATGTTAGAAGTCCATTCTTACTGGATCTACAGCTTAAAGCTTACAGTTAACAAATCATGAACACCATTAAAATAACTAAATCCCTATTAATATAAACGGTAGAGTTGGCTGTTGGCTGTGCTATGGTATAGATCGAATCAGTGACAATCTGTGATTAAAGTGGTCAGATTACGTTAAAATTTGTTGTTGAGATATATTTGACATAGAATTTTATATTATTGTTTAAAAGTTTTTATTTATTAGATATACATATTTCTGGCTCACAATAAATTTGCCATCTACTTTGGTATTCAGCAAATATGATATCAAGGACAAGAAATGATAGCATAAGAAAAAAAAATAATAGTAATAACAAAATAGAAAGACAAAAAAAAAACCAACAAAAAAAGAACAGTAGTAAAATAACATATACATATATATTAAGAGAATAACACACAAAAAAAGAAAAGATAATGCAGCAAGTAGCTCAATGCAATAGGTCTCTTGGCCAGCGCCTCAGCAGTCTTCTGGGCGGATTATATGGATTTGTGGCAGTAGATAGAGCCTGAGTAAGTGGATTGGAATTTAGAGTCAGTCTGTCATGAAAATTATTAAAGCGGTCAGTGGCAGTTGACGTGATGAAAGGAGTGTTAAAGTCAGTGTGTAACGTGAGGTTTGAAGCATAAAAGGGTGCGTCTACAATTTTCCGAAGGACTTTTGACTGGAATGACTGAATGATTTTTATATTTGATTTCTTTGCTGTTCCCCATAGTTCTATTCCATATGTCCAAAGTGGTTTAATGAGGACTTTGTAAATAGTTAGTTTATTAGTCACAGATAATTTAGAACGTCTGTCAAATAGCCTAGAAAGAAGTCCGTATCGCTGATTAAGTTCTTTTCTTTTTTGTTTTATGTGATATGTCCATGTCAGTCGTTTGTCCAAGTAGAGGCCCAAATATCGTACAGTTTTTGAAGGTGGTAGAGCGATATTATTAAAGAACACTGGAGGACAAGAGTTTTTTAGTTACACATGTTTAAGTGTAAATGAAACAAATTGGCTCTTAGACTCGTTCATTTTTATTCTCCACCTTTTAGCCCAACAAGCTATGTCGTCTAGGTGTTCTTGAAGTATCTGAGAAGCCTTAGCTGCATCCTTGTTAGATGTTAATATTGCCGAGTCATCAGCAAATGTAGCCAACAGTCTTTCAGAATGTTGTGGGATGTCTGAACAGTAAATGTTGAAAGGTGTTGGACCCAAGACACTGCCTTGAGGTACTCCAGCTTTTATTTGTTTGATGGCAGAAAACTGAGTCCCCATTTTCACACGGAAAAATCTATCTTTTAGATATGATTGTAAAATTAAGTAATACGTCGGAGGAATGATCGTTTTTAATTTATGTAACAAAAGGTATAGGTTGGGTAAAAAGTCTAATTATAAAACGAGACCAATCTTAATTTCTCTAAATAGTTACCTATTAAATCAAGAATTGAGTAAAAAAAAAAAAAAAGAAATGTTCAGAGAAAACGAAATTCTTATCAAACACGATAAAAAGCCGAGTAAAGAGGAGAAGGGAAACAAATTTACATTCACCTAAATAGACTAGTTAAGTTCGACAGTACTGTTACTTACAAAAATAAATTCCATATATCAGATATCGATGACCTTTTGGTAAGTCTTGGTGAAGGAAGACTATCATCGAATTCATCACCAGCTCAAGACTATCATCGAATTCATCACCAGCTCAAGCTAACAAACGGAAAAAACTAACAAATTAGACAAACTAAAGCATTTTTCGATTTCTTGAAAGAAGGCCTTCAAATCAAAATTAATGAACCAATAAAAGATGTTTTAGGTCAGGGAAAACAAAAGAAATATGATATGTTTTCTCTACTTGGAAATTTTAATAAAAACTTGTTGCAGTATAGTGAAGATAACAGAAAATGCACTTTATTTGGACAGCTCAAATCTCATGGAACTACTGAATCTACTAGTAGTATTGAATCTTCTAGGACGTCAACACACGATGTTACTCATGGGGAATACTCGAAGATATATGAACATAAAGGAATTTGAGGAAGGATTTTATATCGATAAGTCACCCCCACCACCTCCCAGTATACAGCACGCCGCTAGGCTAAATGTAAATTATGACACTGTTAATTTAAAAATAGTGTCGTATAATATTAACGGGCTGCAAAATAAACAAGCCAGATTTCATTAATTATATAAAGATTTTTGAAATTATTATATTATTGCAAACGTTTGTAGCTGAAAGGGACGAAATAAAATGTTCACACTATTTCAAAAATTATAAATTATCGTGGATACGTGCTACCCGAAATGTAAAATATGGTCACGCTATTGAAGGAATTTTAATGGAGATTAAATTAGATATATTAGAAAAACAAATGGCTGATTTTGTAGATATATCGGGATGTAATGTGATAAAACTAAATATTAATATAATTTTGACTCCAGTATACCTAAACTGAGCCGAGTTAAAGAAATGGGAGTATGGTTATTCGAAGATTTATAACCTTTTATTGGAAAATAATAATAAAAATTTCATCTTAAACAGTGATTTCAACGGTCATTTAGGTGTATCATGACAAATTACAAAATATTTATTAAATGGGAAGACAATAATTAAATATAAGCATAGAAATAGTAAAAGGATAAATAGTAATCCTAGAATTGTTCACGATCTCTGGTTTAATTGTGCTTAATGGTGGAACGGAAAACGATGAACTTGGCGAATTATATTATTAAGAGAGGTCAGTCAGTGATTGATTAATGTTCTCTGCCAGAAATATCCTACCTATTATAAAATATTTGAAGGTATAACCGCAATTATTTTCAGACCATTTGCCCCTAGTAACCTATTTGGAATTAAATAAAGGACAAAAACAGTCAATAAGACATGCTAAATTATTACCAAAATTAAAGTGACAAGAAACAAATAAGAGAAAGTACCATGGAAAATTAGAAAAGTGTATTAAAAATAAACATTTCTATAGATTCGCCTAACTAATTAAAACTGCTGGAGCCTTTGAGGGACAGCAAAATTTTCTAACATCAAAAGCATCTAATCCTTTCAGTCCAAACTCCTCGGAACAATAGTCCATGCTCCGTTCTATGTAAACTATAAAACTCTACATCATGACCTTAATATCCAATTTGTCCTTATCTCTGAAGTTTTTCCAAATTCCATCAGAACCTTACAAATCATCCAAATTCCCTTGCACAATCCCTATCTAGTTCCACTCATCCCTACAATCCTCCTCGAAGTTTGAAGCGGCAGTGGCCCAGAGATCTTTTGTAGTATAAATCTTGGAGTTCTGGCAATGGCCAGATTCTTCACTTAAGACATGAGTGTATGTGGCTAAAGCACTTTCGCTCAAACTCCACTGGCTTTAGCACCAATGGTGTGGTTGAGAGAGTAGTGCAGATATCTCTTGGAATCCTGCTTTTCCTTCTATAGTTGAGGGGGAGAAGCCTGACTTGGGGTTC